GTTGTTGGCTCATGGGTTTGCCCATGAGACGCAGGCCAGCAGCTCCTCCAGCCCCAGGCTTGTTTTGGCTGAGGGAGAGGGGGCTGTGTGATGGGACACACTTGGGACACAGTGTCCAGCCAGGTCACCTGCAGGAGAAACCAACCAAAAACTCTCAGAGGCTCAGGACATGGTGTCCAGCCAACACCATGCAGGAGAAACCAACCAAAAGGCTTGGGACATGGCTTCACAAGCACTACGTCCACTTGCAGCATTGTGATGGAGGGACACATAACAAAGCAGACCAGGGCTGCTGATGCCCATGTTTGGCCAAGGTGGGGGCAGGTTCCAGGCTGCAATTCCCCTACCCCAAAGCCTGGACAGGTACCTATCACTGCTGCTAAGCCCCTGCTCAGCTGCTGTCACTCACCCGTCGTCACCCAAAGGCTGAGGGCTAATGCGGCTCCGATAACGCAGCGTCTTGCACTGAGTAGCCTCCTTCTGCTGTCACAGCCCGACCTATTTCTCACAAATCCTGACTGCTCTGGCCTTAAAACATCTTGACGCAGTGCTGAAACCGGCCTTGGCACAGCGGCCAGGCCCCGATTAAGCGGGAGCTGCCATGGCTTGGCGTGGGCTTTGCAGCAGGCAGATGCTGGCTGGGAGAGCAGAGCAGAGCCCATGGTTCCTCTTCCATGAGAAAAGCCCTTTTAGGCTTGCTCTGGTGTGGAGACAGTGATAAGCACGGAGTCCTGGTGGGACTCTCCTGCCACCCCGTCCCACCCCTTGGAATGGGAAGTTTCTGGTGCTCATTCCCAGTGGAGAAGCTACAAAGAGATGAGGGATCTTTAGCCTGAATTTGAAAAATTCAGAAGAACTTCAGCCAGGGCTGAAAATTGGTCTGGAAAGCTCCTAGGAGCTGTACAACACAGGGAATGTCAGCTGGCCAGCTGTGGGTAGCTGAACAGGAGGAGGTTTATTTAACTCAATGCTCCCAAGCAAGCTGGCCTAATAGCCCCAGGCTCCAGCCTTAGAGAGGACCAGAGCCCGACCAATGCGGCAATGAGCGTCCCCTACAGCTGCCCATGCCTGAGCTGATCCCACCACCCCAACCCTCTGCCACTCTCTTGCCCTTGGGGTCACCCAGCAGCTCCCAGGACGTGATGCTCATGGCCATTCCCACCCAGCCGGCAAGGACCTCACAGCCCCCCATACCAAACCCCTGCCCACTCGTTGTCCCAGCAGCCCCCTCCCCACAGCTGGGAGCCCCCGTGGGGAGCGTGGCCGGCAGCAGGAGCAGGCCAGGAGGTCACGCCTGGCCGGCGGTGCTTGCGGCGAGCTCGCCATCCGGCTCAGCTGAAGCACATTTTGTTCAGCGCTTCCTGCATCCTGCCCCATCCCCGCACCGGAGGGGGGTGTGGGTCAGCCTGGGGTCAGGCCGCTAATTGCAGCCTGGGGGGGTTGGCGGGATGAGGCAGCCACCAGCTCACCATGCTGGGCTGCAACCCAACATGGAGGAAGTGGTGGGGCCGAGGGACAAGTGGCACCCCATAGCCAAGCTCAGTAGACCCCCAAGGTGCTGGGGTGTCCCTGTGGCAGGACACAGAGGGGGCA